CGAGTGAAATTTATTCTTTATTTTTCATCATTACTAGGGCTTTGTTGTGGTACAACGATCGATCTGTTTTCGCCCACTTTCTTTTATCAGTTTTAATTCACAACGTGTTTGTTCACGGATTCGATGGGTTTCACTATTTTCATCGATTTAATTCCTCTGTTTTGGGTTCAGGTATTTTCGTTGAAAGGGAAAATTGTTTTCGTGGATTGAGGAAATATTTTCGGACTTTCCGAGAATTTTTAAGCTGTTGAAAGAGTAAATAGATTGAAATAATAAATCGGGAGATAATTTAGTGATATTGAATTGATAATAGAATTGATTGCCCTGAGGCTTGAATCTAATGAGTGAATGAATATCGGGAAAATTCTCAAAAAAATAGTCGATGGCTGTCTACGTGACTCCGGAAATAATGTAAAACCCGTAAGGGTTGTTTGTTTTGAATATTGACTTCTGGTATGCACAAATAGTCTTGTCTACCCAATTTCTGGGTAGGAGCTCGAAAAATGTGGGCATGAATGCGTCAAGAGAGGTAAGAAAAGTCACACAAGCTCTCGATCTCGTTATTTACGACCTTTACGCAGATCTTAAGCCTCAGGAACAATGTGGGGATATATTTTGCGAAGTAAAGGGGATTTCGAGGTAGAGGGGAGTGAATTTTTGCCGTGGGTCTTGAGGTCAGGTCGAGGTAAAATATAATGGGGTCCTGCTCCACTTGAATAAATGAATCCCTTCGAGTGGCCCAGAGTTTTCCGTAGAAGCCTCAAGGAAAAGGACTTTTTTGCTTCTCCTTCTTATTCTCTCACTTCCACAAACCCTCGCTCAAACTCTCCACCCCTTTTTGCTTTTCTTTTTTTCCTGCCAGAATGCACCATGCAAGGTTCAAATGCACAACTCTCAAAGGACCAAACAGTCAGTTAAATGTATTCGGATTTTTTTTCACCATTTTTTGAGAATAAATGTTGCTTGGGGACAATGCTCGAGTTTGAATAATAGGAAACCCTTTTTTCCGCTCACCTGGGGAAAACGTGAGGGACATCTGCATACGCTTTTCAAGGAACAGCCCTCGCACTTTTTCCACTCGAGTATAAGCGAGACCAAAAAATTGAGGAATATCTCCCTTCGTCAATGAAGACAAAGAAGTGAACAGTAGATTCACCTGTTCCAATGATTTTCTTTCAACCCTCTAATTATTAAAATTTAAATAGTTGTGTGTATTTATGGAAATTGCAGAAGAGCATTGAAACATGCGTGGAATCTGGGAGTCAGCAGAGGCTCTAGTAGTAACACCAAATCAGCAGCTACAGCAGCAGCCGAATATGATGGAGGATAATCATCCCCTTCATTCGACAACCCCAGTTACTTGGGGTATGCCAGATAGAACGGAGGGGGAGCGAACCGACGATAAGAACAACGACTCAGGAGTCTCGCCAGGGCACTATACATCCTCGGTTTCTCCAGGAAGCAGAAGTTCCTCTTTCACAGCCACCGGCAGTCTCTCTCCGGGAAGTGTAGAATCCGGTGATTCACAGAGTAACTTCAAGAATTTCGCATCACCCCTGGATTTCTCCAGAGTTCCGGGACTGGAGGATCTTGCTAAACAGACTATGATGCATCGACCGATGGACGTTGGAAACATGAATGCTGGAAGCGATGCGTCGGAGGGGTGTCAGGATCATCTGCAGTGCCCTGTTTGTCACTTCACAACGCAAGACAGATTACAGTTTCGTGAACACCTGACAGGCCACTACGAGAGCAACGATCCCACAGACTACCCCAACGCACTTTATCCCCAGGTCTCTCACTTGAACAACTCCCAGCTGAGCCCAATGGACGACAGCAATCGAGCATCACCCATGTCAGGTTCCGAACGCTCCGATCAGGATTGCGAAGAGACAGATGAGCCTGGCATTCGCACTCCTCGAGTAAACTCCCAAGGTAAAGTCAAAACCTT